GGACTGTTGTGGCATAGGAAAAAGATCACGTATATAGAGCATTTTACACAGGCCCTGGCATGCAGAAAGTTCCCAGTAAATGGTAGGCATAATTATGAATTGAATTGAATTGAATTGAATTGTGAAAGGCTTCTGCGCCCCAAGAGGAGCTGGTGTTCCGGCTTCACTAAGCCCAGCAGGACCATGGATTCCGCTCTAGCATGATCTGCTTTGAATACTCTCAGCTATTCAGAAAATCCCTGGCTTGAATTACATGTTTCTGTTAATGGATACGGTAGAGATTCTGTCACTGAGCAGAGCTGGAGGAAAAGAGAAAAGAAACTACAGAATGAGTGCAGGAAATGGAAAGTCTGACAAGGATTGGTTGGTTGCCTGGGGAGGAGAGGAGGCAGTCCAAATGTGATTATAAAAAGCCAGCCTTCAGCCCCAGAGCTATAACCTCACTGCTGTTCCCATCTACCATCAGGCTCCGGGAAGGAAGATTCCTCCTCTCCCCTCCTCCAAGGTAAACCCGAAAGCCAGGAAGTATGGATGTCAGCTGCCAAACCTCTGCCAGGCTTTCTGCCTGTGAGCCTTATGCCCCGAGAACCATGACACCCATTCTTCAGGGAGGCTATACCCCTGGGTCCCTTGTAGTGCCCTGGGCTAAGACTGGTCTGAGGAGGTGGGTTGGGGTGCCAAACCCCAGACTTAGGTTATAGGCACCAAGGCAGCAGTCTACGACCTTAACCCTGGCACTTCACTTCTTTGGGCTTTAGCTTGTCATCTGTAAAATGGAGATCAAGCTACCTTGCCTGCCCAAAGGACTGGACTGTGTCTGAAAGCCCTTTAGCGCAGGATCTAATGTGACAGTGAGTTTATCTTTGAGGGCAGATGAAGGTATCTGGAGTGGCTGTTAAAAGCGTGGGTTTGGGGGGGCACTTGGGTGGCTCAGTCAGTTAAACTCAGACTGCGGCTCAGGTTAGTGAGTTTGAGCCCCGCATTAGGCTCTCGGCTGTCAACGCAGAGCCTGCTTGCCATCCTGTCTCCCTCTGTCTGCCCCTTCCCTCCCCTTTTTCTCAAAAATAAACATTTTTAAAAAGTGTGGGTTTGGACATTAGTCAAGTGTGGGTTTGAATCCTGACTGCCACTTAACTTCCTAGCTGGTCAGACTTAGGAATGTTACTTGACTTCACCCGGTTTCAACGTCCTTATCTATAACACATGGTTGAGAACAATGGCATGTATTTCAAGGGATTCTTACGGGTATAATTGACCTCGGGCCATAAAGTGGGAAGTCCTCAATATATGGGAGGTTGTTTTTAATTCAAGGAAAAGGCACTGAACGGACAAAGATCACATTGGAGGTGAGTTTGGGGGCATACGCCTTTTCCTATTCTGTGCTACGATGGAAAGAGCATGAGGTTTGAACTCGACTGTCTTGAGTGCTTGTCTAGGCGGCAACTATTTGCTGCGTGACTGTTGTTGGTACGAGGAAACCGAAAGCCCGCGGCTCCTCAAGGGGGTCCTGGGCTCAGTCCAGAGCACCTTGCTGCTTTTTATGGACTCCTCCACGAATAGAAAGGGAAAACAACCACGCGGGTCCAAAAGGACTCTGGAGACTCATCTCCCCACCCCCTTCTCTGGGCCAGTGACAAAGCCTGCGCGCGGCGCCACCATGCGGCGGAAGGCGGTATCGCTCTTCTTGTGCCACCTGCTACTCTTCGCCTGCGGCGGGGTGGAGGCAGGTAAGCATCCTGGCGCAAGGGAGGGCTGTGAGATAAACACACCGAGAGTTTCGGAAGCCCGGCGTAGACTTTCAGGAACCCTGGCTCCGGGACGAGAAGGGCTATGACAGTGGACAGCTCCAGGTCACTGTAGCCAGAGTCCCAGGTTCGACTCCTTACGTATCAATTCCTCCATTCCACCCAAGTGTGCTCAGTGCCACTTATGTGCCAGGCACCGCGCCTTGGATGAAGTCTCTTCCCTTCGGCGAGGCTCCCCGAAATGGAAGGATGGGGTGGTGCTGAGCACCAGGCACAGTACAGGGAACCCTGCTCCGCGTTCCACTCTGTCCCCTCCCGATAGGCAAGAGAAGACAGGAAAAAGAAGAGCGCTCGGAGGACCGCGGCTCCGGGGTCTGGGGCGCCCTGACCTACATGGCTGTCGGAGGAGGTGGGTCCACGAGGGCGGAAAGCTTCAGAAGGTGGGGGCCCCTGCTGCGGGCGCTCCCTCACCGCCTCGCCTTCCTCCAGGGCTCCTGGCCGCGGGGCTGCCCGTTCTGGGCTTCACGAGCACGGGCATCGCCGCCAACTCTGTGGCCGCCTGGTTGATGAGCTGCTCCGCGGTGGCGAACGGGGGCGGTGTGCCCGCCGGGGGGCTGGTGGCCGTGCTGCAGAGCCTCGGTGAGTGGGCGACCGGGCCCGCGGGCGGGGATGCCAGGGCCAGGTGACTCCATGAGCCGGGTGTCCTTACCATCTCCGTCATGCAGTGGGGAAACCGAGGCAACGAGGGATTACGTAATTTACTCAAATGCTCCCCGTCAGTTGGCACCAAAGCCAGGATTCGAACCTACTCGGACTCCTCACTCTTCGCCACCAAAGCGGGGTGCCTCACTGATGCTTTGGCCAGATCACAACAAGCCTCAGTTTCCTCATCTGTTCACAGGGATGACCATCCTCAGTGTAACATTTTACGAATCTGCTCAAACTCAGAGAGCCAGAGTGGCAAAGAGAGGTGGCAGAGAGGGGCGCCTGGCCGGGCGCGGTCGGTGGATATGCATCTCTTGATCCGGGGTTGTGAGTTCCAGCCCCACACTGGGTGTAGAGATTACCTAAAAATAAAATAAATCTTAGGGGCGCCTGGGTGGTTACGTCGGTTAAGTGTGGGGCTTCGGCTCAGGTCACCATCTGACCATTAGTTGGTTCCAGCCGCCCCTGTGGGGCCCTGTCCTGACAGCTTGGAGCCTGGAGCCTGCTTCAGGTTCTGTGTCTCCCTCTCTCTCTGCTCCTCTCCTGCTCATGCTCAATCTCTCTCTTTTAAAAATAAATAAACATTAAAAAAAAAAAAAAAAAAAGAAAAGAGGAAAGAAAGGTGGAGTGACCCACTCAATTCAATCTCATACCAACCCTGGTCTTGAATTGTATTTCCTGAACACCATGAAAGGAAAAGCTACAGTTCAGAATGACCCTTCTAAAAGAATGTGCATTGGGGTGCCTGGCTGGCTCAGTCAAGGGATCATGAGACTCTTGATCTCGGGTCGGGAGTTTGAGGCCCACGTTGGGTACAGAGATCATCAAAAATTTTTTTTAATTAAAAAACATGTGCATTTACTTCTCTCTTTCTCTCCTCCACTCCTTTCTTTTTCATTGCTTCCTTCCATCTCTCTCTCTCTCTCTCTCTCTCTCTCGCTCTCTCTCTGAGGCCTCAAACTCTTGGAGAAAAGTTGCCCCTGACAGACTCCCCTCTGCCTTCCTGAACCTTCCATCTGCTCTCAATTCTGGATGACAAAAGCTCAGAGAACCAGCCCAGAAGAATAGAGCCCTTCTCAGAGGGGGCAAAAGGGAAGCCACACCCCAACAGTGGGAGGTAGGGTGGGGGCAAGGCTAGGAACAGTCAGGTGCAGTAAGACTCTCGCACTCATGCACATCACAGGGTTGTGACCACGATGAAATCTCTTACTTGTGAACCCCCAGCCCCCACAGGGAGGTCTCCACAAAGGCGGCTGTTATTAGCATTATTAATAACACTGTGTGTTCACCACAGACGTGAAAAGATAAGCTGTTACCTGCGTATTTTTCTTTCTTTTTTTTTAATTTTTAGTTTTTAAACGTTTTTATTTATTTTTGGGATACAGCATGAGCAGGGGAGGGGCGGAGAGAGAGGGAGGCAGAGGATCTGAAGCCGGCTCTGCACTGACAGCAGAGAGCCCAATGAGGGCTCGAACTCACGAACCGTGAGATCGTGGCCTGAGCCAGGAGTGGATGCTTAACCGACTGAGCCACCCAGGCACCCCTGTGTATTTTTCTTCTATGGAACACATCTCTGATTTGAGACGGCAAGTCAAGGGGGAAATAGGATTCACTTTGCAGAACTCCTGTCCCCTCTCGGGGCCTCTGTAATGGTTTCCAGACCTTTGGATTCCCAGGCCTCGTGCCTGGGCCCCAAGTGACCTGACTATATTTGCTTTACAGGGGCTAGTGGTGGCAGTGCCCTCATGGGCAAGATTGGTGCCTTTCTGGGCTACACTGTCCACAAACACCTTGAAAACAGCCGGGAGAAGGAGGAGGAAGTGGAGGAGGAGGAGTAGGCGGAGGCTCCCAGGAAACCCTTCCTTCCAATTGTAGTCGAGAGCTTTCTGTCACGCTCATCAATGACCTAAGTGGAAAAAGCAGAATAAAATCCTGTCAGAAAACACTCTGTCGTTCTGTGAGTCTCCCAACAAGATCTGGCTCCAATTTGCCTCATCCGCACACCTCCAAACCCCTTTCTCCCCTCAAGCCAACCGCAGCTCCCGGAACACCACCAGGTGGCTTTGTCTCTGGGCCTCAGCACATGCTGTTCTCTCTGCCTAGAATGTCCTTCTGAAGCTCGTAACCCAGCTCAGACATCCCCTCCTCTGGGATTCCTTCCCAGCAGAGCCTCCTGCCACAGCGTGAACACTCAGGCTCAATTTCACAGGGTGCCTGGGGAGGCAGAGCTCAGTCTGTTCTCAGTGGGAGAAGCTTCCAGCTACTTTTCTGACGAGGCAGAGACGGAGAAGCTGGATCTCCATTCTCTGAAGAAGTGCTAGGTGGAGAATATAGGCCAGACCTTTGCCTTGGGGAAGTGCGTGACAGCAGCTTTTCGAGGGACCTCGGCAAGGTCTCCTTCCCTCCAAGATAAAGTGGGATAAAGTGGACAGTTGGCATACGGAGGCTTTACACCCTCCGGGTGGGAAAGGAAGGCCAGACCAGACCTAGGGGGGAGATCTGAAGTTAGCGAGTCCTGTCCAGGGGAACCTGGGTGCCTGGACCCGGGTAGGGGGAGGCCAAAGTAGGCCCTCGAAATGAAGTGGCAGTGAGGACAGAAGGGTCCCAGCCCTGGTTCTGGTTTATGAGTGGGCACACCAGCTGCCATGCCAGACTGGCCTCCCTGGGAGGTCCACATCCCTGGGAAGCCGTCAGGTGCGAACCACGACATCTTGTCACAAAAGGGCCACGTAGGCTGTCCTCAGGCCTCCCCCAGCTCGCCCCACTTATAACCCAGAAACTCGTCTTCAATTAGCAATGTGTGTGGGTGGGCGGGGAAGAGGTCCCCTCCTGTCTGCTCCTGCCCCCAGATCTAACGCCATCTGGGCAGATGGCAATTGTCTGCCCCAGCTGGCTTGCCCCAGGCCCCGAGAAGCACTGCTCGTGGAAAAGGCACACAGGTAGTAGAGGCACCAGCTGCTCCACACACACTCTCCGTGGTTTGTGTCCCAGAGCGAAAGCTGGGCTGGGTCCCCTGATACTTACCATAGGACCTCTGCAGAGTCCCGCCTTGGCTGGGGCCGTCCACAGACCGGTAGACAGCGGACTTCTGCCTACAGAGGAAGGCGGGGTCTCAAGCATCACACTCTACTGAAGCCTGCACCCCAGTTTGTCTATAAGGTTGATATCCCAGAGACATGAATGTGTGTCCCTCAACACTTTTGGGGAGAGTGCTGTCTCTAATTTGTCTCTTCTCCCCAGTGCCTGGGACAGGCCTCGTATAGGTGCTAATAGATGTGGGTAGAATTGAACCTGAGGTCAGTCCTTCCATCTGCCTGTCTGTCCCATCACCCTCACCAGATCTCATGGGGAGGATGACTGGACCTCTTGTTCTTTCCCTTGGGGACCCTTGATAATACTCACTGTCACTCCCATGGAGGCCTGGGGATGAGGGGCCTGACCCCCTTTTAACACTGTGGTCTGAGTAAACACAGGCCCCTAACCTTTTACTCAGCATTTTCCGGCATAGATGAAGCTGGGGTTTTCACATAAGGCAGTGGAGCATAGTAGCTAGGAATTCCCTCTGGAGTCCTACAGACCTAACACGAGTTCCGTCACGTCGTGCGACTCAGTTTCCTCCTTTGCAAGATTAGAGCAGAAAGCAGAGAGGAAATAGCCAAATAACAACCAGGAACTAGATCATGTGACTTTGGGGTCAGGGTTTACTTTCTGGAACTCACAGACCCTGTTCTTCCTTTCTCCCAAGTGTTGGCGCCCTGCCCCCAGGAGCATACACACACACACACACACACACACACACACAATTATTCCCTTGGCATCTTATTGCCTTGAAAGCGTCAAGGCCAGAGAGAGACAGCTCTGCCCCCAGGATTTCAGATTTGAGGCCTCAGCACTTCTCAGGCTGAGTGACACTGAAAATTACCCATCTCTAAGGGGACACTCTTCTTACCACAAGATCCCATGGGTCTGTGCAGGATAACTCCTTGCTTTCATTCTGCGGGCATTTCCTGGGCACTCAGTCTGTATCAGGCACTGTGCCAGCTGCTGAGAACACTGTGGTGAAAGAGACCCAGTTCCTACCTCCTTGGAGCCCACAGTGCACAAACTAGGAGCCCCCCCCCCCCAAAGTATCCATGGACTCCTTCTCCCTCCCTGTCACCACCTCCTTGCCCTTGTCTCCTTTCACCCATCCTGGCCCTTGTTAGCCATCATGGACCACGATCATCCTGTCTACAACGTGTGAGGCAGAATGATGAACACAAACCCGAATTCATTAATGGCAGCAAGTCAGGAGATGCTAATGCACTTTTAGACCCCTCCTTGGCAATGGCCTTCAGAGAGACAAAAAGCTGAGTCCCGGCCCAGCAACAGGGTGGGGGCGCCTCCGGCAGCTTACTTGCCCTCTCTGAGTCTTAGCTTCCTTGCTTTTAAAATAAGGGGGCTCAGATATTATGATCTCTGAGGTCCTTCCTGGTCTAAAACTGCTGAGTCTGAAGCACATGCTTCGGAATCCTCTCGGTCCTGTCTGATCCAGGCCCTCTGAGAGTGGATTTTATTTTTAGAAGCTGCCAAAAGCCACCTTGTGGTGCCAACTTTGGTGACTAAGGTGGGTGATGGTGTCGAGGATGCCATGTTTGGTCACAAATGAGGGTGACTAGAAACCAGCAGGGCAGATCCTCACTCTGGGACCACACCCTGAGGCAAGTCCAAAAATAGATCCCATCTGTGTGGCTGACTTTATGGAAAACAACATTGAGGTCCTCTGTCCTCATCATTTCTCTCTGGGCCTCAGTGTCATAGTCTGTGAAATGGAGGAGGGGAGCAGTGAGACTCTCATCTGGACCTAGAATGTCTTTCCCAAGCGCTCAAGTTGGAGGTGTCTTTCTCTTTAATAAAATCCCTAGGGATTTCTTTTATTCGTTAAGGGCTTTCCTGGCCCGGTTGGTACCCTGGAAAGTCCCCTCACTCCCTGTAAGAGCCGACCTCCTACCATCCCATGGTGCTATGTGCGGCTATGGCCACCAGGTGGCAGTACAGTCCTACCCTGAATCTCCCTCCGCCTGCATCATCCTTGAGCCGCTCCCCAATTACCAAAAGCTCTCCCTGGGGCGGACGGCACCATGGATGCCGAAGACCAAAGTGAATCAGTCGTTGCCCCTGCTTTACAGAAGGAGCTCCTGAAGCTCACGGGAATGGTCAGTCCTGAGGATCCCTGCAGGGCCTGCTTCTCCTCTCCCTTGCAGGCCCTTAGTCCTCCAAGGCTGGGATCTCCAAACTCCCGAGCACAGCATTCAGGACCCTCTACAGTCAGGTCTCACTCACCTCCAGGTCTACAGCCTGTGCTTCCAGACCTGGGCCACAGAGATTGAAAGGAAATGAAAAGAACAGTCTCCTTGACTGGGTAGCAGAGAATGATGCCAGGTACAGGGCATCTCTGGACTCAGCCTTGAAGGGGGCCTGGGCCAGCAAAGGGCCTGGGTCAGCGGTAGCTGGAGGGAGCTGAAGCAGAGGAGGCCTGTGGCTTCCTGTGAAGAACTGAAGAGCCACTTCCTTTAAGCAGATGGCTGTGGGGGAGGGGCAGAAGATAAGGGAGTGTGGGCTTCCTGGCTCAGGCAGAAAAAAATAGGGGCCCCAGAAAGGGTCCATGAAGAGGCCCAGAGCAGCCTTCTATTTCCCTTCCTTCTGAGGTCTCCATGGAGCAAACAGTGCAGACAGGTAGGGTCACACCCTTATCATGTGCTATGAAGCCACTGAGAAGACAGTCAAGTTAGGGGCAGGTTCATTTGTATAAGGACAGTAAAAAAATGGAGGCTTGATTACTCCAAGAAGCAGGCCCAAGCACTCAGCCCCAAGTCCAAGAACCGAGCCCCAGAGCCCAGTCCCAGACCTCCAGATCCAAGGTTTTACATTTATAACTCATTTAATCCTGACAACAATCCTCTGGGGTGTTATTAGAATCCACATTTTATAAATGAAGAAATCAAGGCAGAGAGAGGTTAAATGACTTCCCTAAAATAAACAGCTAGCAAGTGGCAGAGGCAGGATTTGAATCTCGACAGTCTCTCTAGAACAGTACTTGGCACCCAGAGAAGACTGTATAAATAATTGTCCAATGAAGGTACTTAATCTTAATCTTCCTCGGTCCCACCCATCCGCCTGCACTCAATCCAGCAACCAGGCAGCCTGTAGATCCTATCTCCTAATTATTTCTTGAGTCTGTTCACGACTCTCCACCCACATGGCCCCCCTCTCATCATCTAGTTCAGGCCTAGAGGACACCTACAAGGTCTTCCTAATGGGTCTCCCAGTGTCCACTCTTGTCTATTATCCACACAGAGCAAGGAAGATCTTAAAACAAAGCGAGACAAAGTGACCCCCCCCCCCCCGCCCCTTCCAGCTTTAAGCCCATCACACTTAAAATACAATTCTACTCCCTTACTCTGGTCTTCAAGGTCTGGAATCATCTGTTCCTCCAAAGCTCCAGAGTCTTCTCTCACCTCGCTTTCCCTCCCCCAACTCTTTTCCAGCCATGCCGGCCTCTTTTTCCTTTCCAGAACCCTCTAAGTGCCTGCCAACCTCAATGCCTTTCCACAAGCTCTTCCCTCTGCCTGGAACACTTTTGTTGCTTCAGGAGTCAGCTCGAACGTAACTCCTCCAGAGACCCGAGCCCCCAATCTAAATTAAACACTCCGTTATCCCAGCAGCCTCTACCTTATGTTCCTAGAATGGATCACGATTGTAATAAAAGCATGATTGGTATAAGCATTTGTTACTGTCAGACTTCTTCACTAGCCTCCGAGCTCCGTGAACACAAGCACAAGGTTCCTCGTTATTTATCACCAGCACCCAGCTCAGCTCCTGGCACCCAGGAGGTGCCCAGTAGCTATGGTTGAGTGGATGGGGTCCAGATGGATGGACAGACGGATGGATGGGTGGTTGAAGAGCGATTCAGGGAATAAGCGCATTTTAAAATTAGGAAACTGTTTACCCTGACTGTATTTCTCAGGGCAGGTATAATGTGTGCGATTCACATGGCGGTTATTTTCACCCTTCGAGAGCCCACAACCACTGCCCTCTCCCAAGACCTTTCCCAGGTAAGGCCACCGGGCGGGGCTTCCTGGGCGGCTGCGTGACGTCATAGGGGAGGCGTGCCCGGAGTACGGCTCTGCTTCCTGATTGGTTGGCGCTGGGCGGCGGCAGCCACTCTCTGCGCCGCTGCCGTCGGGAGTAGCTGCGCTGGGAGCGCAGGAAGGCGGAGGAGTGAGCCGAGGCGTCTCCGTAGACGGCCACAAGGCTGCGTCGCAGCAGCGGCGCCAGCTTCAGCGCGCCGGGGTACCCCGGACCCTGTTCACGTCGCTCCGAGCGTTTGGCGAGGCTCGCGCCATTATGCGGGGAGAGGGGATCTGCGTCTAGACCGCTCCCCGCAGCGGGCGGGGCAGATAGTGTGGCCAAGCCCAGGGGCGCCCACTGGAGCGCAACTATTTCAGGCCTCAGACCTCAGAGAGGAAAGTCCCAGAAACACAGCCCCGCCGTCCTCTCACTCTCCTGGACACGCCCCCCCCCTCCCCCTTAAACGCAGACCCGAAAGTGCTGCACGACGAGGTTTCCAGCCCTAGCTCTGCATGACCTGGCACAAGAGTCATGCCATCTGCACCTCAGTCTGCTCATCTGCAAAATGAAGCTGTACTTGCAGTCAGTGATGTGGTGTATGTGATGCCTAGCACCGGACTGGCACATACTAGGTGCTTTGCAGATACCAGCTTCCTTATCCCTGACCCTGACCTTGCCATAGATTTGCTCTGTGGTCTGGAGCGATTTCATTGAACCTCCGTCCGGGGGGCCTCACTTCCGCATCTTGTGATGCGAGAATGTCCTTGCAGCCCCTGTGGTCTGAGAGCTAAGATTTACTGAGTCATTGAATCAGTGATGAGCTGAGACCAGACCTCACTCACCTCCAGGTGTCACTTTTCTATGTGGTTCCTCTGACAAATGAACTTCCTCATCCTCCTTGAGATGCCTCTGAGGTTGTGCCTAAGAGAGCTGGACTCCCCAGAGCTTCTGCGGGGTCTTAGGGGGTCTGCAGGGACCTTAAAGGGCATCCCAGACAACCTTCCTCAACGTTTCTACTGACTGGGGTTGGGTCACCACCACTACCCCCCTCCAATCACCGTGTAAAACCCTTTGGGGACTGCCGATGGCCTTCAGGCAAGTCAGCAAGACCCACAAGGCCATACCTGGGTCTCTAGTCTCAGTCACACCTCCTCCCCCTCTCCCAGCCTGGCTGTAGTCAGACTGATCTCCTCTCAGCTGTCTTTCCTCTTCTCTGGGTGTTTGCACAGGTGATTCCCTCTCTGCCCCATCTTCTTTCACCTGGCTCACTCCTCATTCATGTCCCTCATGGGACAGAGTGGATCCTGACCCCTAAGATGGGTCCCCTTTTAGATGAGGACTTGTGACTTCTGACATCATCCAGCTCAGCCACTGCCCTTCGCTTCCTACCCTCCTGTCACGCTAAACTTTCAGCTCCTTGAAAATGCAGGGCTTTCGCTTGCCTTCAGGCATTGCACCTGCTGTTCTCTCAGACCTAAACATGCTTCTCTTCCCTACTTTACTCATATTTGTCCTTCAGCTCTCAGAAGTCCTTGGCCAGCCCCTACCATACCAAGTACCCACTTTCTTGCCCCTATCTAATGTCCATTGATGAGTGATTCCATGCCCAGTGCTTGTCCAGTCTCTGCTTACATACCTCAGAGACAGGAAGCTCACGACTATCGAGGCAGCCTACTCCATCTGCCCAATAAAAGGCCTCCAATTCCTGCCCACCCCCAACCAGTGCTCAAGAGATTCCCTGGAACTGAGGCCCAGAGTGAACAAGTGCTTTGGGATACTTGGTGAAGAGCCAGGGACGATCCAGCTGTCCTAAGGGCTCTTGCGGGCTCACCTGGCCCTAATAGGGCACATAGGTATCAGCACTGGCCAGGTCCCACATAGTCTGGATCCATTTGTAGGCCTGGGACTTGAGATGCTGTCACAACTCATGTTCCCTTTCACCTAGGAGCAGTGGATCAGCCTCTGCTGGGGACAGGGACACCAGCACCCTGGTCTGGGTGGGGGAAGGTCAGGAAGGAAGCACTGTCAGGTAGCATTGGACCCCTATTGCTTCGTTCAACTGCACGCCAGCCCTGTAAGGGAGAGATGCTGTCCTCAGTTTACAGATGCACAAACTGAGGTTTCTGGACAGATGCAATTTACTTAAAGTCACACAGTGAGATAGTGGCAAGGCCAAGATGTATTTCAAAGCCCAACCTCTTTCCTCCGTCCCTTAGTTTGGTGCCTCTCATCTACCTGCTGCGCTCTGAGGCCCATTCTGCTCAAAGCATCATGAAGTCCTGAAGGGCCCCATTCTCCTGTTCCCTACAGCTGGGTCCTACCCCCAGTGGGGCATCAGTAGCTGTGCCTGAGCAGCAGCTCAGGGCTGGCTGAATGCCAGGAGTCACCTCCTCCTTCTGCCCTTGGTCACTCCCCAAAACTGCAGAGGAGCCCAGACCAAAATTAGGCAGTGGCCAAGGAGGTGTCTTATAGATACCAAGCCCCGGAAACTGGGCTGAGCCACTTATTTGCTGTGTGACCTTGGGTGAATTCCGTTCCTTCTCGAAGCCTCGATTTATCATCTGTGAAGAGGACAAATTATCCCTTCCCAGGGCCTCAGTGTGCTAGAATTAAGGAAAGCTGCTCTCTATCCCAGGCTACCTCACCCTTGAACCCTCTCACCTTGAGAAAGAGAGCCCCCCTCCAGGGTCCCTGTGGTAGCAAAACTCGAGCATAAACTGCACATAGCCTGTCCTTGATGGGGGTCATAGATCCTGGGCTGGGTGGACACCAGCTTGGGAGGACTAGCTTTCCTGGCTTCTGCCCCCTTCAGCCTCCAGCCCTGCTGGGGAGCTGGCTCCGTCATCACATCTGCTCCCTCCACTGTCTGTGGCCTTTGCAGAGCCATTCCCCAGGGGACTCTGCCTCTCCTGCCTCCTCCAATCTATCCTCCCCGCCTTCTTCCTCCCACAAATGTTTACCCATGCCTACTCAGTGCATAGATCACTGAATAAGCTCCGTGCCTGTCCTTGTAAAGCTCAGTTTAGTGGGGGAGACGGACAAGGAAATTGAGTTACAATCCACTCACCCATCCCAAATTCTATTGGGCCCCCCCCCCCCCGCTGCTGCCCTCACCTGTACAGTCTGTTCTCCACACAGCAGCCTGAGCCATCCTGTTAAAAGGGAGGTCAGAACATGTCACTATGCTGCTCAGTCCCCTCCCATAGCTCCCCATCTCAAAGGAAAAGCCAGCGTCCTTGCTGTGACCTGCAAGGCCTCTGCACGATCTACCTCATCGCCTCCCACTCTCCCCTCCGAGCTCCCCATTCCGGGGGCACCGGCTGCCTTGTTGTTTTTCAACATGCCAAGCATGCTCCTGGCTCAGGCCTTTGCATTTGTCCTTGGTCCTGCTGGGACTGTCTCCCCCCAGGTATCCCTGTGGCCTCCATCCCTTCGCGAAGGTGTATCCACCTCCCCGGGGGAGCCCTCCCTGGCTGCCCATTGAAATACTACTCCCTACATGCCTTCTGTCCTTTTATCTGCTTTGTTGTTTTTCTTGGCACGACCACGTGACATGTAAGTATTTTTTTTTTAATGCTTGTTTGTTTGTTTTTGAGAGAGAGAGAGAGACAGTGGGAGGGAGACACAGAATCTGAAGCAGGCTCCAGGCTCCAAGCTGTCAGCACAGAACCCAATGCGGGGCTTGAACGCACGAACTGCCAGATCATGACCTGAGCCGAACTCGGGCACTTAACTGACTGAGTCGCCCGGGCACCCCGACACATGAATACTGTTTATTGTCTGTTTCCCTATAGAGTATAAGTCCTATGAGATCTCCTGAGGTTCCCCACCCTCAGGAAAAAAAAAAGGGGGAAAAGAATACCAAGAAACTTTTCAGTGTGTGGGGGAAGAGGACACCACTAACTTAACTACTATAGGTAATATTTAAAGCGTCAGTAATTAAAACAATTTGATTTGGGTGCAGGAGGAGACAAGCAGACCGAGGGACTGAAGTAGACTGTCCAGAAATAGACTCAATGGACAGTTATTTAGTATTTGATAGAAGCGGCATCTCGAAGTGGAGAATGGACGCTAGTAAACAGTGTTAGGACAACTAGGTAGCCAACTGGAAAAAAAAAATTAGATCTGTATGTCACATTGAGTGCCTCACTGAGGATAACTTCCAAAGGGATCAAAGATTTAAATGTTAAAAAAAAAACCCACTATAATCTCATAGTGGGAAAAGTCTAACCGTGACTCAAACCCAAAAAGTCATAAAAAAGGATTGGCTAAAGTCAGCTACATAAAAATCAAAAACTTTCACAAGCTAAAACACAACAAAGCAAGTCATGAGACAAATGACAAGCTAGAGGAAAATATTTGCAACTCGGATCATAGACAAAGGATCATCTCTCTAATTGATAAAGCATTTTTGGAAATTCGTTAAAAGGACAGGGGCACCTGGAGGACTCAGTCGGTTAAGCGTGGGACTTCTACTCGGGTCATGATCTTGCGGCCTGTGAATTCGAGCCTCACGTCGGGCTCTGTGCTGACAGCTCGGAGTCTGGAGCCTGCTTCCGATTCTGTCTTCTTCTCTCTGCTCCTCCCCCACTCTAGCTCTGTCTTTCTCTGTCTCGCAAAAATGAATAAATGTTAAAAACAAACAAATAAATAAATAATTACAAAATAATAAAAGGAGCAACAATCTAATAGAAACAGACGTGGGATACGAATTGACAGAAAAGCAAATAGAAATGGCTTCTCAACATGTGAAAAGAAGCTCAAACTCAGAAGAAATGAAAATCAGGGAAACCACAGTGGGATACCATTCCTTATCAGTCTGGCAAAAAATCTCAAAGTTTAAGGCTGCCTGGGTGGCTCACTCGGTTGAGCCTCTGAGTCTTGATTTCAGCTCAGGTCATGATCCCCAGGTCTTGGGATGGAGCCCAGCATTGGGCTTGGTGCTGAGTGCGGAGCCTGCTTAAGATTTTCCCTC